TTAAAAAACAAACAAAAAAGCATATAAAGATGGATATGGGTCTACAGAATTGTACAACCATGGAGGTGAAGGGATTCTTCTGGTCAGAAGTGCACAGCACCTGGGCTTTAGTTGTTGTTGTTGTTAAGTGCCGTCGAGTCGGTTCCGGCCCATAGCAACCCTGTATAGGGTTTCTGAGGAGCTTGAACCACCGACTTTGTGGTTCAAATGACTTTGCAGTTCAGCGCATTAAGCCACGTGGGATGCTGTGTTCTTATTTGGAACAGAGAGTGTAGTCCCTGAGTCTTTCTCTTTGAAGACTCACACCCAGGGAGACCACAGAGATGGCCAGAGCTACAGTAACAGTAAGCTCAGATTCGGTGACACACTAAACCATGTTATTAAAGTTACAGAACACACTCAATAAAGTGCTTAAAAATCAGATGTGGGAAGAGAAACTAATTATAATGGAAGGCATAAATGCTCATGTGCTTGTGAAGCTAATCAGTAGGAATCCATCAGCATAAAGATCTCATTGCTCCAGTATAACTAACAAATGTACTAATGATTCTGATGCCCCCAAGCCAACCCAGTGACCCACTTCAAAATAAAAACATGGCTTGTGGCACAAAGAAAAGACGCTAAAGGCTCCACCCCCTTGTTAAGAGTACGACTGGTAGACTGGTATCAAAGTTAAAAGGTGAATGCTCTCTTTTTTCACATGTAGTACCCATTCTGATTGCAGATTTATTACTTAAGGGATGTAATGTAATATTCTTAGCCAGTCCTTTTTTAAGATGAAGCTCTTTCCTAAAGATAATCAGTTTCGCTTTTGTACAGCTCAGCACGGTCTCCGCCCGGCCCCTCACCACTGCGTTGCGTTCCACTCTGGATCGTATCTGGTCGACTTTGCCTTCTATCACTCTGGGAAATATTGAAGAATCTGCTCCTTTGCAAAACAGGTAAATTTCTCCTATGAGGAAAAAAAACAAACAAACAACCCAAAACATTAATTAATGTAATCACAATATGGGGAAAACTCAAAGTTGTTTTTAAAATTATGCTGTTATTAAAAAACAAAAGCAGAAATATCTGAGCTGAGACTATTAGAAAAGAGATTTTTACAGACATAATAACATGGAAGGTTAGGAAAAATTAAATCTACAGATTATTCCGAAGCTTCCATTCCATTCCTACAGCCCTACAATATTAAAGGAAAAAAAGACCCAGAAAAAAAAAAATTTGTTGGTAAGTGCTGTAGAGGCAATTCTGACTTATAGCGACCCTGAATAGTTTCCAATGAACAGCTGGTAAGTTCGAACTGCCAGTTTTACGGTTCAAATTGACATTTCGGTCATGCAGCACCATACCAGGACCCCGAGAGGCAAAACATAAATTAGGTCCTGATTCATCTTCATCTTGTATCTTTTGCCTTCTCTTTGGTAAACACAGGAAGATGAAACAATCTTGTGGTAGAAAAGTCAGGGGTGATAATAAAACAAGGATACGGCTGGTCAAAAAGGTGTGTTAACAACTTTTGTTGTTGTTGTTGTTGTTAAGTGCCTTCGAGTGAGAGCCGACCCATAGAGACCCTGTACAGGATTTCCGAGGGTATAAATCCTTACGGGAGTAGAAAGCCTCATCTTTCTCCCGTGGAGCGGCTGGTAGTTTCAAACCACTGACCTTAAGGTTCGCAGCCCGATTCGTAACCACTACGCTACCAGAG